CCCCAAAACCCCAAAACCCCAAAACCCCAAAACCCCGTCCCTACTAGACCACATTGAATTATAATTTATTCTTCAGATTTAATAATATCACCATAGATTGCAATATCTCTTTCTGGAATTTTGATTTGTAAAAGTCCGATGAATTCTTCAATATTGACTAAGAAATCTTCCGTCTTTACAACATCGAACAGAATACTCTTTAAGTTCTTTACTCTTGGGTAAGGCTCATACTGAGGAAGATCGACTGAGATCTCATTTGAGTCGAACCATGCAGGGACTTTAATGAACACATTCTTGCCAACATAGTGGCTACCATCGTGCTCCTCAAGAACCTTGGCCAACAAGTTGTTCTTATATTCTTCAAGCTGCTCATCACTGGGCACTTGGCTACTGAGCAAGCATAAGGTGATTGCTACCTTTTTGAATGATACAAATCCTGTAAATTTAACATCAAAGGCTTTGATAAGCATCTCATATGCACTTCTATCTCAGTCCTTGAGTACAGAAGGTACTCCATTTTCGTCAGAGAATTTTCTAGAGTTCAGAGTCCTTGTCAAAAGCAGGTCCACAATACACTCATTCTTAATAAGTCCATCCTTTGAAGAAACGATGAATTCGTTAACTAATGATTCAAGTTGTTTAATTGTGAATCTATTATCTTGAGGTTCTTCTCTAGCAGCATATACCTCTGGAGGAGGATCCTCAAAGTTAAGGAACTTCTCATCCAGATAGAAGTCCATTCCTTTAATTTTAAGTTCATGTTGAAGCTTTGTCTCCTCTTCAATGCTCCTTTTAATGACTTTTTCTTTCTCGATAATAGCATCAGTCTCTGCCTTGAATGTAACCTGAATCCAGGTATCTAATTTCTGGAAGCATGTATTGCTTCTAACTCTAATTTCTTTCATCAAACTGAGGGCCCAATTTCTGATCATAGTGAGTCTGAATCTCAAGACTGCCTTTTCAGTCTTAATAGCATTTTGGAGTTCTTCCTCATAGAAGTATTTTTCTTCTACTTCTTCTTCACCTCCTTTCTTAGCATCTTTTCCTTTGCCTCCCTTTTTATCACCAGCTGCAGCTCCTCCTGGAGGGGTTGTCTCGACTTCAGGAAGGATCTGGGCCTTAAGGCCTCTTTCAAAAAGTTTATCTAGCCTTGGGTAAGCCTCTTTAGATCCATCTTCTCCTTCTTGGGTCTCAAATACAGGTGGGAGCTCCTCCAAAGTTCCATCCTCGTTCCTGTTGATTATCTCATAATTGATTTTCTCAGGTGGGTCAGGGACTAATCTATCCTCAATAGCATAGTAGTAATCCTGGAGTAAGTTAGCACAATTTCTGAATTTGTCCACTTCAGCTTGGAACATGTACTGAGCGGTTGTGGTCACCTGTTCCAGTTCAAATTCAGCCCAACCATTTTCCATAATTTTCTTCCTTTCTTCAACAGCTTTGTTTCTTCTTTCCTCCGAGATTTCCCAGAGTTGATCTGAGAGGGTATCTGTACGCTGATGAAGCTCTTCTTTAGTTTGCTCATCTTCTCTCAGATCTGGGTATTCATCAGAGAACTTGTTGAATTCAGTGACGAACTCATCTAACTTAGCTTGCTTGGTATCAGGCCTGCTTAGGTATTGTATGAAGTACTTCTGAGTCTTACAGAGACCAGAGGTGATTCTATTCCTCTGATTTCTGTATAGATTGAAGCTCTTCCTCATTCTTTTGAGGTATTTCTCTTCAATATCGTTCCAAATATTCATTAAAACAGGTGCAAAATCATCATCGATATTGTCTTTAGCAGGGGGTTGAGGTTCTTGCTCCTCTTCTTTCTCTCCTTCTCCTTCCTTCTTTTCCTCATCAGGTTGCTGTTCTTCCTTAGGAGGCTCTTCAGGAGCTGGCTCTTGTTGTTCAGGTTGCTCTTCATCTCCCTCACCTTCTTCTTTCTTCTTAGCTTCTTCTTCGGCTTTTCTTTTCGCTTCCTCTTCAAGACGGATACGCTCTTCTTCTTCAAGACGGATTCTTTCTTTTTCAGCGAGGAGTTCTTGCCTATACTGTTCCTTTTTAGCCCTCCATTGAGCCTCTTTTCTAGAGACTATCTTTTCTAGAACTGTGGCATTGGATAGAACCTCTTCAGGGTTGGCACTATCTCCATTGATGTCATGGCATAGCTCAAGAGTGTTAGCCTCCTCTCCTTCCTTTTCATACCCAAATTTGGAGAACCATTGACGTAAGCGAGGAGTGTTGTTGTCGAAAGCCAGATGTTTGTCTGGGATAACCTCTTGGGCTCTCTCAGGTTCTGTTACTTGCATCAATCTTTCACATAAAGGAGGACTTGTAGTTGGTGGAGGATTATCATCAATATGAAATTCTGTGTCATTGGTAAGATCAATTCTTCGACCAAGAGCTCTTCTCCTGCATTCTTCTCTCTTTGTATCTAACCAGAGTACAGCATCAAGTCCAGATTCTTGAAGTGTGTCATCAATATTAGGCTTATCTGAAGGTTCTATGATTCTGCAAGCAGTTGTGAGTTTCTCATTTCTCTCACAAATCTCTTTATCAATCTCTGGTAAATATCCACTCAACTGAGCTTCAAGTCTGCTTGCTTGTTGTAGAGAACAAGGGAAGTCAACCAAGATCCATCCAAATTTATTAAAGTTAGCTAGTTCTTCTAATTCCTTCTTCAGGGCTTCTTCATCAATAACAGCTGCATTTCTGAAAGATTTTCCTTGAACTTCCTTGGCTTTTGATAATTCTTCTTTGATTTCTTCTTCTCTTTCAATAATTTTCTTCACGTCTTCATCAATCTCTTCTTGTGTTTTATACAAGAAATCAGCCTTAATAGAGGAAACAAAAAGTTCAACCACCATTTCTTCAGGAATTTCTTTTCCTTCTAGCAGGATTTCTTCTAACCTTTTACCAGTGGTTCTGAACAAGTTTCTTCTGATTTTCTGTAGTTTCTCTTCCTTGGTCATTGGTCTTTTGAAGAAGATTGGGCTTCTCTTTCTCTCAAACTCAGCTTCGACATTAAGGATTTCTTCATTAGACCCTTCTCTGATCACCTCAATATTATCTTCGCCTTCGCCAACAACTATTTCTTTCTTCTTGTCTTCTTCTTGGTGGTCTGCTTCTGAGGCCTCAGGTGCATCTTTGGATTCATCTTTATTCTCTTCAGGAGTTTCTTCCTTCACAGATTCTTCTTTTGGCTCCTTCTGGCCCTCAGCTTGGGCGTCGGGAGTATCTTCCTTGTTTTCTTGATTTTCTTCCTCTGTGTTTTCTTCTTGTTTTTCAGCTTCTTCTTTACCTTCTTCAGGTTCATCTTCACCTTCTTTGTCATGGCGCTTCTCCTTTTCCTCAGAGTAAGCAGTTCTAGAATTATCTTTCTCAATTTCTTCAAGTTCTTCCTTAGATCTACTTAGTGCTTCATCTATCAGCTCGAATGGGTGATACTGCTTTAGGTCGTACTTCTCAGCGATCAGCTGGGCTTGGGTCTTCTTACCAGCGAATGATTTACCTACCATAGCAAGACGGAGAGTTAAATGGTTTGGCACCTCTGGTCGTACTATGTCCTTCTCGCCATCGTAGTTGATATTAATGACTTGCTCAACAACGTCTCCTAGAATATTGTTCTTTGGGAGGACTTCTGGAATTGTCATTTCGTCTTCATCAAGTTTACTCTCTGGCTGAGCTCCCTTTCCTCCTTTGCCTCCTGTTGCTTCTCCAGAGTTAAGGATTTGTTCCATGTTGATTTTGTTTTCCTCATCATTAACCAGATCTCCTTTCCACTGTCCTTGGCTTTTGAGATAATCAGTAAGTTCTTCATCATCTAGAGTAAACTCTGCTTTCTCAAGAGACTCTTCTTCGGTGTCTATTTTGGTTTCACCTAAGATCTTATCATCGTCTTCGTCAAAATCTGGCTTGCCTTCGACATAGGCTGCTTTGATGGATTCTTGAGTTTTAAAGAGCTTGGTCCACTCCCTCCAGTTTCTGTCATCAATCTCCTCACTGTCAGTCTGCTGTTGAAGGATATAAGCCTGATTTGCGATCTCAAAGATCTCATCGAGCATTTTTGAGCATATATCAGTCCTGTACTTTCTTTGGTCTTGCTTACAGTTGATTCTAAGATCAGATTCTCTCTCGAATTGACTCTCTTCGTCAATATTTCTCTGCTCATCAAGAGTCCTTAGCATCTCTTCTTCTCTAGAAATTGCGTTAGTTGTGTCCAGCTCTTTTCTTTTATAATATCTTGCTTCTCTCAGCTTTCTGTTCTCAATGATAACATTTTTACATTGCTCAGTCTTCCAGATCTCATAATTGAGCTCTTCCTCTTGTTTAGATTGCCTCTTGAGACGTTCGATGTATTGCTCTTCCCTGGTCTTGTTTTCCATGTCACGAAGGATGTCATTATTTAAGGCTTTAGTGAGTTTTCCCTGCCTTCTTTCCCTCTCTTTACGAGTGGCTTCAGATATTCGACTTCCTCTCTCCTTTGCCTTACCTCCAATTGAGAGATTTCCAAGGGTCTCAGTCATTGTCTGATTTGTTCTGCCAAAGAGATTTGAAGACTTATTTATCGTAAGTCTTGTCTTAGAAGGTGAGGACTCCTTACTCCCTGGTGCTTCAGTCTCGATACCATTTCTTTTAAGATTGTTCTCAAATTCTTCTATTCCATCAATAACTTCAGACTTGGCCTTGTTGATCTGAGTCATGGTCTGAGATTCTAACTTCTTTGTCAATGTAAATTCAAACTGGAGCTGCTTCTTTTCACGCTCTTTCTTAACATTTTGGTTCTTTTTCCAGTCTTCAATTCCTTTCCTGAGCCACTCTTCCATAAATCCAGCATTTCTTTGTAACTTATCGATTTGGGAATGTCTCATGTCATGCTTAAGCTTGATCTTCATTTCATGTTCCTTCTCATCTTCTCTATGAGCCTGGGCTTCTTGCTTCTGTCTGATCTCTTCAAATTTCTTCAGGTGATTTTTCAAATTTATATTCTTCTGACTCTCATTAAGCTCCTGAAGTTGGACCTTGAAGTGGTTATGAGCTTGTGTATCGTACTTCTCTTTGCCAGGATTCAGCTTCTTAGCAGGCTTGGTATCACTCATATGACCGTCAAGTGGTACTCCAACTTTCTCAAGTTTCATCTTAAGCTGGCACAGCAGTTGGAGAGAGCTGCCTCTCTTCTCCTTGATGATATCATTGATCTGTTTAGCATTGAACCTGATCTGCAGGCTTCTAAAGATAGGCTCAAGAAGGATAAAATTATTTATCCTACTATCCCTGTTGTTATTTACGAGAAAATGGGCTGATATCGTCCAGCTGTTTATAGTGTTTGAGGAGCCTTGCGAAGAGATACCCATTTGAGAAGTCTTTCTCAAAGTCCTCTACATGCTGAGGTAATTCTACCTCATTGTTAATCCAGTTTCCTATAAGCTCAGACATCTATAATTCTTATAATTATAATTTTAAATTCAGGTTTTAAATTTATTTACCGTAAGTGGGGTTTTGGGGTTTTGGGGTTTTGGGGTTTTGGGGTTTTGGGG